TTTTATTTTCTCATTTCGGTTGTTTTTTGGAGGATATCATTTGGTTTTTTTTTTGTTTCTTCAGTTTTTCGATTTGCAATTTTTTGAGTTTTTAAGTTTATATTTCTAGTTTTTCAATTTTCCAAAGTACGAATTTTTTAATTTTTCGATTTGAGTTTCTCAAGTTTCAATTTTTAATTTTTCAATTTTTCTCTTCTTCAATTTTCTATTTGGATTCGATTCTCCAAGTTTTGGTTTTCTCAACTTTTCATATTTTTGTTTTTTCAATTTTAAGTTATGCAATTCTTCAAGTTTTCATTTTACATTTTTTTAGTTTTTCAATGTTTTTACTAATTTCGTATTTCTCAATTTTTCGATTTGAGTTTCCCAAGTTTCAATTCTTAACTTTCCAGTTTTCCGATTTTATATTTTTTTATTTTTTCACTTGAATTTTTCAAATTTTTGTTCCTCAAGTTTTTAGTTTAGTTTAAATTTTTCAGTTTTTTAATTTTTTCATCTGCATTTTTCGAGTTTTCAATTTCTAATTTTTAAATTTTTCGATTTGCAATTTTTCAATTCGGTTTTTGATTTTCTTTGTTACTTCAGTTTTTCGCTTTTATAATTTTTGGCTATTTCAATTTTTCACTTCCTCATTCTTTTTTGTTTGAATTTTTTAAATGTTTTGATTTTTTTCTTCAATTTTATGAGGTGCAATTCTGTATTTTCCATTTCTGCAGTTTTTCGGTTTTTCAATGTTTTGATTTTATAATTTTTTATTTCTCAGTACGAAATTTTTCAATTTTTGGGTTGTCCAATTTTTCGCTTTCGCGTTTTCCCTTGTTCTAATTTTTTGGATTTGAAATTTTTTTCAATTTTTGAGTTTCTTGTTTTTGGTTTTTCAGTGTTTCAATTTTCTCGTTTCTTTATTTCTTCGATTTCTAGTTAATTTTTTCAGGCTTTCGACTATCCATTTTTTTCTAATTTTTTATTTTTTGGATTACTTCTATATATTCGATTTTTCGAATCGTTTTATCTTCCTTTCGTTTTATAATTATTGGTTTTTTCAATTTATTATTTTTTGTTTCTACAGTTTTTCGATTTGCAATATTTTGAGTTTTTAAGTTTACATTTTTAGTTTTTCAATTTTCCAAATCTGAATTTTTCAATTTTTCGATTTGAGTTTCCCAAGTTTCAATTCTTAATTTTTCAGTTTTTCAATTTTTTTTTTATTTTTTGATTCGGAATTTTATTTTTTTTTGCAATTAATTTTTTGTTTCTTCAATTTTACAGTATACAACTCTTCGAGATTTAATTTTTCAGTTTTTCGTCTTCATTGTTCTAATTTTATAATTTTCTTTTTTCAATGTGAAATTTTTCAATTTTTGGGTTTTCCAATTATTCGCTTTCGTGTTTTTTTCTTTTTCAGATTTTTTGATTTATTAATTTTTTCGATTTTTGAGTTTCTCGTTTTTGGTTTTTCAGTGTTTCAGTTTTTCGTTTCTTCATCTGTTCGATTTGCAACTTCGCGATTTTCCACTTTTTTGTTTTTTCAATTTAGTTTTTTGATTTCCAATTTATTCAATTTTTCGATTCGCTTAATTTTCTAAATTTTTTCAATTTTTTGATTTGAGTTTTTATTTTCTTTATTTTTTCAATTTCACCAATTTTTTGCTTTCAGTTTTTAGATTTTGCAATTGTTTGAGTTTTTAAGTTTACCTTTTTATAGTTTTTCAATTTTCCACCTCCCGAATTTTTCACGTTTTCGATTTTAATTTTTGAAGTTTCAATGTTTTAATTTTCTCAATTTTCTAAGTCTGGAATTTCTCAATTATTAGATTTTGTAATTTTTCGATGTGCAATTTTTCATTTTAGTTTTATATTTTCTTTATTTTCGATTTTATAATTTTTTGAAATTTTCAATTTTTCACTTCTTCAATTTATTATTTGGATTCGATTTTCCGATTTCTCGTTTTCTCAACTTTTTGTTTTTTTTTTTGTTTTTTCAATTTTTTACTACTTTCGAATTTTTCGGTTTAATTTTTCCAAGTTTCAATTCTTAATTTTTCAGTTTTTCGATTGCATATTTTTTTATTTTTTTACCTGAATTTTTCGATTTGCAATTTTTCGAATTTTTAGTTTAAATTTTGCAGTTTTTCAATTGTCCAACTGTGGAATTTTTTAATTTTTCGATTTTGCAATTTTTCGATTTGCATTTCTCCAGTTTTCAATTTTTCGCTTCTTCAATATTTTTATTTGAATTTTTCTTTTCATTTTTCAATTCTTCAGTTTTTCGGTGTTCTGATTTTAGAATTTTCCTTTTTTTGATGTGAAATTTTTCAATTTCTAGGTTTTCCAATTTTTTACTTTCGGGTTTTTCCTTTTTCCAATTTTTTGAATTTATAAATTTTTTCGATACTGGATTTTCTCGTTGTTTTTCGATTTTCCAATTTTTTCAAATTTTTTAGTCTTTGGATTTCTAATTTTCCTCTTCATTCAATTTTTCAATTCGTTTTATTTTCTTAATTTTTTCAGTAATAATTTTTGTTTTTTTCAATACATATTTCATTTTTTTGTCGTGGAATTTTTTATTTTTACATTTTGCAATTTTTCAATTCCATTTTTTATTTTTTTATTATTTTTTTTAGTTTTTCGATGTTATAATTTTTTGTTTTTTCAACTTTTCATTTCTTCACTTCTTCGGTGTTCTGATTTTAGAATTTTTCTTTTTTCAATGTGAATTTTTTCAATTTTTGGGTTTTCCAATTTTTCAGTTTCGCGTTTTTCCTTTTTCGAATTTTTCGGATTTATAAATTGTTTCGATTTTTAAGTTTCTCATTTTTGGTTTTGCGATGTTTCAATTTTTCGTTTCTTCATTTCTCCAATTTTCCAGTTTTTCGATCTTTCAATGTTTTCTGATTTGATAGTTTTTGGATTTCTAATTTTTCAAATCTTTTTTTAATTTTTTCAATATTTATTTTTTTTTGTTTTCAATCTTAATATATCCAACTCATTTTTAAGTCTTTAGTTTTTCATTTTTTTCCAATTTTTGAATTTTTCAATTTTTAGATTTTGAAATTTTTCATTTCAGTTTCTAGACTTTTTAATTTTTCAATGTTTCAACTTTATAATTTCTTCTTTGTTCAATTTTTCGGTTTACATTTTTTGTTTCGGATGTTTATTTTCTTTATTTTTACCAGTTTCCTATTTTTCAGTATTCCGAGTTTAGATTTTTTTTATTTTTTGTTTCTTCATTTTTACGATAAGCGATATGCTGCAACTTTTCGAGTTTTCATTTTTCCGTTTTTCGATTTGCAATTTCACAAGTTTTCAAATTTTTATTTTTATTTTTTATTTATTTAAATGAAGTTGTACATTTTTTAATTGTAGATTTTTAAGTTTCATGTTCTGATATTTGATTTTTTTTTTCCAATGTAAAATTTTGCAATTTTTGGATTTTTCAATTTTTCATTTCTTCAATATTTGGTTTCCAATCTGTCTAGTTTTCATTCTAAACATGTAATATGTAATATTTTTTTAAATTATTCACTTTTTCAATTTTACGATTTTAGAATTTTTGCATTTTTCAATTATTGGATTTTAAAAGTTTTTCAATTTTTTGATCTGTCAGTGTTACAGTTTTGACGATTCTGTAATTTTTTGTTTCAATTTATTTATAAAAAAATTAAAATCAAAAATAAAAAACTAAGAAGTATAAAATGAAAACTTTAAAAAATGTAAAAAGTGAAAATCAAGAACTTTGGAAAACTGAAAAACCGAAAAATTGAAAATTCGAAAGATTTAAAAATTGAGAAACTTTAAAATTGAAAAAGTGCATAATTGAAATAACCAAAGAATGTAAAATAGAAAAATAGAAAATTAAAGAAATCAGAAAATTCAGAAATCCAAAAAATTATAAAATCGAAAGAAACACTGAAAAAATAAAGAAAGTGAACAAACGAGAAATTGTGCTATAAAACGGAGAAAATGAAAATTACAAAATCCGGAAAATCAAAAATAAAAGTTAAGAATTTGATAAATTAAGAAAAGAAAAATTGAAAATTGAGAAATTGAAGTCTAAAAAATGAAAAATTATGAAGTGGAAAAATTGCATATAGAAAAATTGAAGAAATGAGAAATCGAAGACTTGAAAGTCGAGAAATTGAAAAATTGAAAAAAGAAAAATTTTTAAATCAAAACATTGAAAAATCCAAAAATTGAGAAAATAAAAAATGAAAAAACGAAAACTGTAAAATCAAAAAATTGAAAATCGAGAAAACAAATACATGATTATAAATTACGAACTTTTTGATTTAATGGATACAATAATCATTAATTATTTATTTGAGTCACCCTGTATAAGCAATTCTAAAAAACTATGAGTGCTCGAGCAACCACAAGTTTAGCGTCACAATATTTTGCATATTTCAGGGATAATTTATTTGACAAAATTTTGAGATGGCGTCATCAATTATTTGGGAGGGGATAATCGAATAGATTTTGATTAACGATTTACTTTGGTTACAATAACCTCAAAACGTTTACAATTTTGTAATTTCGAAGTTAAATTCCAAAATTTTGTTATACAATTGGGATTTTTTTTTGTTTCAAAAATCTGAAAACAACACGGATTCATACACCACAAGTATAGGAATATCTTATCTTATAAAATTAAAAACGTGCGCAATCACTCACTACACTCTCTACACGTTGGAGCGACCAACCCGCGACCCTCACCCACTAACCTCACCTAGGCAGCCTCTAACCGCCTACAGCAGCTAAACATCTAAACTGTGTGTTTTGTAATTTTTGGGTTGTTGGTAAAATATTCCTTTCGGGACGCTAATGTGACTTGTTTTCTTTTCATCTCCCCCCGACCTCTCCCGCCTCCCGATTTTGATTTCACACCGCTTTGTACAAATCGTTATCAAAATTACTTTTTTTACTTTCGTTTTGGGTTCTGTTTTGGTTACGCTTTCGTTTCGTCCCCGCCCGAAATCCCCTCGTCCTTTCCGCCTGCTTAGTTGGTGCGAACCTACTACTCCTCATATCCCAACCAGGGCGAGTCAGGACCGAAGTCACGTGCGCCCAGTGCGGCTCCCACCTGGGGCACGTCTTCAACGACGGCCCGGCGCCCACGAAGAAGAGGTTCTGCATCAACTCGGCGTCGCTGAATTTCCTGCCCGACAAGAAGGACGGAGGGGATAGCTAAGGACTGACTTGACTTAACTTAAGTAATAACCGGACCACTAATACAAAGCGAGTGATAAGCGGCCTATTTCGTTGAGACGTTATTAACAAATTGGAGCCAAATGAAGCGATTTTTTACCTCACGTTGTTTTTTTTCTTGTTAGCTTGTTTTGTGTGTTGTGCATATCAGTAATCTTTCGAGGCTTTACATTTTGTGAATAAATTTTTTTTAAAATGACGAGTTTTATTCAAGTGAAAAGTTATACCTTGGCAATCACAATATGAATTTTTCTTTTATAAATACTAGTGCAAAAATACTGTAACTAGTTAAATCATCCAGACTAACACGCATTCTTCATCTATAGACCTTCGACAGGCGTTTTACAAAAAAGTTTTTTTTCCTAATATTTCTTTACAAGTTTTCTCTAAAACAAAATATATAACTAAACGTAACGAACGTATTAGCTAGATAGAAAGAGAGATGCCTTTTCGATTTCATATTTTTTTATTTTTTAACTTGAATTTTTCTGTTTTTCATTTTTTTGTTCCCTAAGTTTCTTGATTTGCAATGTCTTGAGTTTTTAGTTTAAATTTTTGAGTTTTTCAATTTTCTAACTGTGGAATTTTCAGATTTTGCAATTTTTCAATTTGGTTTTTTATTTTCTTTATTTTCGATTTTTCATTTTAAAATTTTTTTGTCTTTCAATTTTTTTACTACTTTCGAATTTCTCAGTTTTTCGATTTTACATTTTTTTATTGTTTCACTTGAATTTTTCAATTTTTTGTTTCTTAAGTTTTTCGATTTGCAATTTTTCGAGTTTTTAGTTTAGTATTTTCAGTTTTTTAATTTCTTGATCTCCATTTCTCGAGTTTTCAATTTTAAAATTTTTCGATTTGCAGTTTTTCAATTCGGTTTTTGATTTTCTTTGTTTCTTCAGTTTTTCGCCTTCATAATTTTTTGTTTTTTCAATTTTTCACTTCCTCAATTTTTTATTTGGATTTTTTAAATGTTTTGATTTTTTTCTTCAATTTTACGGTGTGCAACTCTTTATTTTCCATTTTTTCAGTTCAGTTTTTCTGTTTTTCAGTGTTCTAATTTTATAATTTTTCTTTTTTCAATAGTAAATTTTTGAGTTTTTGGATTTTTCAATTTTTCACTTTGGCGTTTTTCCTTTTACCAATCTTTTGGATTTGAAATTTTTGTCCGATTTTGAGTTTCTTGTTTTTGGTTTTTCAGTGTCACCTTTTCGATTTTCTGGTTCGTTTTTTCAATCTTTAGACTATCCAATTTTTCCGGATTATTCAATTTTTGGATTTCCAATTTTTCTATTTATCAATTTTTCGATTCGTTTTATTTTCTTAATTTTTTCAATTTCATCATTTTTTGTTTTTTAACTGAATTTTTCAATTTTTTGTCTATTTTGTTTCTTCAATTTTTAGTTTTTCAATTTTCCAATGTCCTAATTTCGTAAGTTGTCGATTTGAGTTTTTCAAGTTTCAATTTTTAATTTTTCACTTTTACGATTTCAAATTTTTTTATTTTTTAACTTGAATTTTTCAGTTATTTTTTTGTTTCTCAAGTCTCTCGATTTGCAATTTTTTGAGTTTTTAGTTTAAATTTTGAAGTTCTTCAATTTTCTACCTGTGGAATTTTTCAATTTTTAATTTTTTGTTTTTTCAATTTTTCGCTGCTTCAATTTTTTATTTGGATTCGATTTTCCAATTTTCGGTTTTCTCAACTTTTCATATTTCTGTTTTTTCAATTTTAAGATATGCAACTCTTCAATTTTTCATTTTAAATTTTTTTAGATTTTCAATTTTTTTACTACTTTCGAATTTCTCAGTTTTTCGAATTGAGTTTCCCAAGTTTTACGTTTTTTTATTTTTTCAGTTATTTGTTTCTTAAGTTTTTCGATTTGCAATTTTTCAATTCGGTTTTTGATTTTCTCTGTTTTTTCAGTTTTTCGCCTTCATAATTTTTTGTTTTTTCAATTTTTCACTTCCTCAATTTTTTATTTGAATTTTTTAAATATTTTGAATTTTTTCTTCGATTTTACGGTGTGCAACTCTTTATTTTCCATTTCTTCAGATCAGTTTTTCTGTTTTTCTGTGTTTTAATTTTATAATTTTTCTTTTGTCAATGGTAAATTTGTGAGTTTTTGGATCTTCCAATTTTTCACTTTCGCGTTTTTCCTTTTACCAATCTTTTGGATTTGAAATTTTTGTCCGATTTTGAGTTTTTTGTTTTTGGTTTTTCAGTGTTTCAATTTTTCGTCTCTTTCTTTCTTCGATTTGCACCTTTTCGATTTTCTGGTTCGTTTTTTCATTCTTTAGACTATCAAATTTTTTCGGATTATTTAGTTTTTGGATTTCCAATTTTTCTATTTATCAATGTTTCGATTCGTTTTATTTTCTTAATTTTTTCAATTTCATCATTTTTTGTTTTTTAACTAAATTTTTCAATTTTTTGTCTATTTTGTTTCTTCAATATTTAGTTTTTCAATTTTCCAATGTCCTAATTTCTTAAGTTGTCGATTTGAGTTTTTCAAGTTTCAATTTTTAATTTTTCACTTTTACGATTTCAAAATTTGTATTTTTTAACTTGAATTTTTCAGTTATTTTTTTGTTTCTCAAGTCTCTCGATTTGCAATTTTTTGAGTTTTTAGTTTAAATTTTGAAGTTCTTCAATGTTCTACCTGTGGAATTTTTCAATTTTTAATTTTTTGTTTTTTCAATTTTTCGCTGCTTCAATTTTTTATTTGGATTCGGTTTTCCAATTTTCGGTTTTCTCAACTTTTCATATTTCTGTTTTTTCAATTTTAAGATATGCAACTTTTCAATTTTTCATTTTAAAATTTTTTAGTTTTTCAATTTTTTTACTACTTTCGGATTTCTCAGTTTTTCGATTTGAGTTTTGCAAGTTTCAATTCTTAACTTTCCAGTTTTTCGATTTTATGTTTTTTTATTTTTTTACTTGAATTTTTCAATTTTTTGATTCTTAAGATTTTCGATTTTCAATTTTTCGAGTTTTAGTTTAATTTTTTCAGTTTCTAATTTTTTGATCTCCATTTCTCGAGTTTTCAATTTTTAAATTTTTGGATTTGCAATTTTTCAATTCGGTTTTTGATTTTCTGTTTCTGCAGTTTTTCGCCTTTATAATTTTTCAATTTTACGGTGTGCAACTCTTTATTTTCCATTTCTTCAGATCAGTTTTTCCGTTTTTCAGTGTTCTAATTTTATAATTTTTCTTTTTTCAATGGTAAATTTTTGAGTTTTTGGATTTTCCAATTTTTCACTTTCGCGTTTTTCCTTTAACCAATCTTTTGGATTTGAAATTTTTGTCCGATTTTGAGTTTCTTGTTTTTGGTTTTTCAGTGTTTCAATTTTTCGTTTCTTTCTTTCTTCGATTTGTACCTTTTTGATTTTCTGGTTCGTTTTTTCAATCTTTAGACTATCCAGTTTTTCCGGATTATTCAGTTTTTGGATTTCCAATTTTTCTGTTCATCAATTTTTCGATTCGTTTTATTTTCCTAATTTTTTCAATTTTCAACTTTTTCGATTTGCAATGTTTCGATTCGGGTTTTTATTTTCTTAATTTTTTCAATTTCATCATTTTTTGTTTTTTAACTGAATTTTTCAATTTTTTATTTATTTTGTTTCTTCAGTTTTTCGATTTGCAATTTTTTTGAGTCTTTAAGTTTGTATTTTTAGTTTTTCAATTTTCCAATGTTCTAATTTCTTAAGTTATCGATTTGATGAGTTTCCCAAGTTTCAATTTTTAACTTTTCACTTTTACGATTTCATATTTTTTTATTTTTTAACTTGAATTTTTCAGTTTTTTTTTTGTTTCTCAAGTCTCGATTTGAATTTTTCGATTTCATATTTTTTGTTTTTTAACTGAATTTTTCAATTTTTAATTTTTTTTGTTTCTCAAGTTTTTCGATTTGGAATTTTCGACTTTTTACTTTAAATTTTTCAGTTTTTCAATTTTCCATCTGGATTTTTTTAATTTTTAGATTTTGCAGTTTTTCGATTCGGTTTTTTATTTTCTTTGTTTTTTCAGTTTTTCGATTTAAAAATTTTTTGTTTTTTCAATTTTTCTCTTCAATTTTTTTTATTTTTAAAAATGTTTCCCTTTTCTTGAATTTTACGGTACACAACTCTTCATTTTTCATTTCTTCAGAGTTTCGGTTTTTGGATGTTCTGATTTTATTTTTCCTTTTTCAGTATGAAATCTTTCATTTTTTGGCTTCTACAATTTTTCACTTTCGCGTTTTTCCTTTTTCCCATTTTTTCGATTTTGGAGTTGCTCGTTTTTGTTTTTTCAAAGTTTCAATTTTTCGTTTCTTCATTTCTTCGAATTGCAACTTCTTGATTTTCCAATTCGGTTTTTAGGATCTCCGATTTTTATTTTTTAGTTTTTGGATTTTTAATTTTTCTATTTAACTCAATTTTTCAATCCGTTTCATTTTGTTAATTTTTCTACCTGTGGAATTTTTCAATTTTTAGATTTTGCAATTTTTCAATTTGGTTTTTTATTTTCTCTATTTTCGATTTTATAATTTTTTGTTTTTTCAATTTTTTATTTGGATTCGATTTTCCAGTTTTTCAATTTTAAGATATGCAACTCTTCGACTTTTCATTTTTAAATTTTTTAGTTTTTCAATTTTTTTAGTACTTGGGAATTTTTTAGTTTTTCTATTTGAGTTTCCAAAGTTTGGATTCTTAATTTTTCAGTTTTTCGATTTCATATTTTTTGTTTTTTAACTGAATTTTTCAATTTTTAATTTTTCATTTCTTTATTTATTCGGTTTTTGTGATATTTTTCATTTTTTGGATTTTTCATTTTTCCGAATTACTTTTTTTTTGGTTTTCAATTTTTCGTTTCGGTATTTTATTTTGTTTATTTTTTTCAATTGTTCAGTTTTTCATATTGTGACTAACTCATTTTTTTTTCACTATAAAATTTTTCAAGCTTTGGATTTTTTAGTTTTCCACTTTTAAATTTTAAATTTCCAAATTTCTCGATTTTCCAATTTTTTGTTTCTTCAATATTTTTCATTTCTGATTTTTTACATTTTTAATTTAACAATTTTTCAATTTGTTGATATAGTTTTTCGATTTTACAGTTTTGACGATTCTATAATTTTTTAATGTTTCAATTTTTCTTTTTTTCAGTTCTTCGATTTTCAATTTTTTCGGATTTTTCAGGTTTTGGATTTCCAATTTTTTGGA